GGCCCCAAAATTATCATATTAGATTGATTGGATGACAGTAGAAGAATTTCTTATGTTGTGATTTATACTTCAAACTCTTCCTCATCAGGCATTACGAGTGGTTTCCACTAATTGCATACTTAATAAATCAGTAACAAACATATGACAAACATAAGGCACAAGCCAGATGAGTCAAAGAAACAGTATTTAGTTTTTTTTTTTGTTCCATAACAATCTTATGAACCTTCCACGTAAAGCCAGTAGATCCACATACAGTCAAGACATTCGTAAATCCAAAGCACAAAATTGACATGAATCAAAAAATTCAATCATGGAAATGGAGAAACTAATATACAACACTATCAAACCGTAGCCATCTATCTTCCAAGAAGCTAATTCCTGTTATTAATATTCCATATTTCTCAAAAAAAAATAGAGGATAAATCACAAGTGAAGCTACTTTACCTGCAAGGATTTAACAATGCCGTCTATAATTTCTGGTTCAATGAGCGGTTCATCGCCCTGAATATTGACAACAACATCGTATTCCTTACCGAGCTTTTGAAGTGCTTCATTACATCGTTCGGTGCCTGCAGAACGTACAAATAAGAATCTTTCGAACAGAATTTTATGTCAACTAGAGAAAAGGGCAACCGATTATACCGTTCCGGCAAGATTCCGATGTCATTACCACATCGGCACCAAATCCTCTACAACATTCAGCAATCTTATCATCATCTGTTGCCACAACTACACAAATCATAAAATCCCCAAATCAGCACTCACAACCACTAAATTCACAGCATAACTATAACCTAACTTTCTATAAAATAAATGCTCCAAAGAGAGAGAATTCGAAGAGGTGGAGCTATATACCAACATGATCCAATGAAGTTGCCATTTTCGCTCTTTCCCATGTTCTCTGTAATCAATCAAAGCATCAAAAAGGGGGAATAAAATCACACATCAAACACATTTTAACAGCCTCAATATTTTCTAATTCTCACATGTAAATCTAATCAAAGTATAAATAATTCCCAACAGCTAATCAAATGAGCCAAAATTACGAGAAATAGTAGCAAATCCATACATCAACGAGAGAGTAGAATTGAAAAGGCGAAAGACAAAAGGTTGCCATAAATACCTGGATCATTGGCTTGCCGAGAATATGAACGAGAGGCTTTCCCTCAAAGCGAGATGAAGCGAAACGGGCGGGTATAATTCCGATGACCCGGCTCCGGAATTTTCCAGATCGGCGGTAATTGAAGTAGGCATGGGCGCCGATCGCCACCGCGGCCGCCGCCCCAACCGCCAGGCCGTGAATAATCCAGGACTTGGTGGAGCTAGAGCTTGAAGATGAAGACGAAGAAGACGGATTGCAGATCGGCATCTGCACAGACGAATGAAGAAAGGGGAGAAGAAGGTAGCACGGAAATTTGGTGCTACTTGTGGGGGAGGTATTAACCGTTTGGATCAACAAACAGTCGATTTCAAATCACACTCTACAAACTGGTTGAATCCGCTGACAAGTGACAAGCAAAGTAGTACTCGTGTTTTTTTTTCCCTTTAATAAAAGGGTAATGATATACGCAGGCCAAATTAAACATTCAGGCATTTTTTACCATGATTTTTTACCTTTTTACCATAACTATTTACCTTTTGTACTATTCCTACCCAATAAAAAAAAAAAAAATAAAAATGCCTGCTCGTGTGGATTTACACGAGCACAGTGGATGCGCTCGTGTAAATTCACACGAGCAGGCCAACGTGTGATTTTTTTCGTTTTTTTTCCGAATTCGTAATCTACATAAAAGAGGATCGTAAAAACGTAAAAATTACCTCCGATCTGTTGACGATTTGCACGGGCATTGCGAAAGAAAATCGAAAGGTTGAGAGAGTTTTGAGTTTTTTTACTTTTTGTTTTTTGAATAATGGTAAAAAAATGTGCCTGAATGTTTAATTTTGGCCTGCACAAATCATTTCAGTTAATAAAATTTTATGTTATTTATTTTTATTTTTTTGGGGAAATTTTTAAATTTTTTTTTTTGGAAGTAGAAAATTTTATTCTAATATCGTTCCAAAAAAAATTAGTGAAAACATGAATGCTAAAAAACTTGCTCTAAAATTGAATTTTTTCGTTAGAATCTGCAGAATTCGAAATTTCTGTTTTTTTAGTCACCTAGAATGTAAAATACATAGTACGATTTTGGTGGAAAATTGAAATTTTCAAAAAAATAAAATTGGATCAATATTCGAAAGCTAATGTGACTCTAAATATGCTGTAAAAAATGAATAAATTGAAAATTGAAAATTGAAGGGGATGTTCGGTTATGTTTCCAATGGGAATTTCTAGTTTTCAAAATTTCTGATGGAAAAAGTAGTTTATTGGTTTTTGTGTAGAAAATGGGAATATGTTTGGATGAAGGGGTATTTTTAGTTTTATGTAGGTGTAGAAATGAGAATATGTTTGGTTGTGGTGAATTTTCTCTACGAAAGTACGTGCAAAAGTAGAATATAATGATTGAGGATGATGATAGTGATTATTATTATTATTATTATTATTATTATTATTATTATTATTATTATTATTATTATTATTATTATTATTATTATTATTATTATTATTATTATTATTAATATTAATATTATTATTATTAATATTAATAATAATATTATTA